AAAGCAAAAGCATGATCTTAATCTGGAGACCAAGATGCCTAAATGCATGGCAAATGCCTCCTTTTATAGGCCAAAATTAGGAACTATTGATTTGATGACTAATTGATGAGTGGGTAGCCAACTCTTGACTTGGTGGCAATCCTTATCTTCTCTTGTCTGCCCAAAACGTCATTGATAACGTCTAAATTGGAGCCACTCAAAAACATGAAAGTTGTAGAAAATTGTCTCAGCTTTCTTGTGTAAAAAATGCAGCTCATTTGGAGTTCTAGAACTCCAGATATGGTCAAATACTGAACAGTGCTCGGCCTGGAGGACAGTTTTGGGCTTCTTTGTTGTTGCAATAATTTGGACTTGAAAATGGCATTTTTAGATCTTGGGCTCCATATAAAAGTTGTAGACCTATGTCTTACCTTTCCATCCATATAAAGTAGACCTAAATCTGAGATCTATAGCTCCAGATATGACCCAATTACCGAATAGTATTCCGGTTTGGATTGCACCGACATCTCATAAGAACAAGCGCACCATCATGGATAGTTTTTCCTCCTAATGCATCTCATTTTAATTTTAAGCCAGACATTATTCAACTTTTACCTTCCTTTCATGGCTTAGATTTAGAAAATCCATACTTGCATTTAAGGGAATTTGAGGAGGTCTATAACACATATAATGATTCAAATTATAGCATGAACACCATCAGATTAAAACTTTTTCCTTTTTCATTAAAAGATAAAGCTAAAACATGGCTACAAAATTTGAGACCAGGATCCATTCGTGTTTAGGATGAAATGCAACAAAAGTTTTTAAAGAAGTTTTTCCCATCTCATAGAACAAACTCTTTTAAAAGACAAATCATCACTTTCACTCAAAAACCAAGAGAAACATTTTACCAATATTGGGATAGGTATCGAGACTTGCTTAATACTTGCCTTCATCATGGTTTTGAAACATGGAGATTGGTTTCATATTTTTATGAAGGGTTAACACCTAGAGATAGGCAAATGGTTGAATTGATGTGCAATGAAACTTTTGAAGATAAAGACCCTGGTGAAGCATCATTAATTTATTAAAATAATATTTTTTATTTATTAATTTATTATTATTATTATTGTTACTACTTTTATTATTGTTATTGTTGTTATTGTTATTGTTGTTGTATTATTGTTATTTATAATTTGCACAATTAACCTCCCTATGGTTCGACCCCGGTCTTACCGGGTTATTTATTACTTCGACACTCCTGCACTTGGAAGAAGACATCAATCTTTTAGTCGTGTCAATACTCTCATTGAGGTTAACATAAGATATTCTTCTTCTTATGATTTATTCTTGTCAGATCTTACTTTATAACATACTATTGTTAAGAGCTGGTATATCTCACTATTACTCGTTCAAACATTACATATATTATTCATGTTGTTAGTTTGTTAGTTGTTTCTCCTACTTTCATTCATTAGGTCGTTGTTCTTCATATTTTGTAATATATTTGGGGCACACTCTTT